CCCCCCCCCCCCCCCCCCCCCCCCCCCCTGTAGGTATCACCACGGTGCTTACCATGACAACTCTGAGCACCATCGCCCGGAAGTCTCTACCCAAGGTGTCCTACGTGACGGCCATGGACCTCTTCGTGTCCGTCTGCTTCATCTTCGTGTTCGCCGCCCTCATCGAATACGGCACGCTCCACTACTTCGTGAGCAACCGGAAGCCTAGCCAAAAAAAGGACAAGAAGAAGAAAAACCCGGTAAGCACCCGACCAAAATCACTCGTTACCTCACCGAACGCATGCTGAGATACCATCATGGTAGCATTTGTCTCTGTTAACAGAAGTGTACAGATTACATCATCTATCTCTATTAAGCGAAGCATGCTGATGTAATGATTATATTTGTGTATACTATGAATTTTTTTAGCAGAACACATATAGACCAAAATATAAAATAAATTTGCCCTTGAGACTGTGAAGTTCTCCTTTCCAGAATAAAGACTGGAAGATTATGTTTTGTACCTTTTTTTATACGGCTTGTAGGTTTATGTTTCTTTTTATGGTACTAGAGTCATGCCACACAGAATAAAATGCTCTCCTTCCTCTGGGGTTTTTTAATGAAGGCTTTGGTACATAAGCAGCGTCCCTATAGGGAACTCCCAGTACTCTCCTACTTTCCGAAGAGTCGGAATTTCAAGGGACATCGTGTAACCTGTGTCTTGCCCTTCTGACCTCTGTACATCTCGCATACGATGTCGAGCTGCTTTGTAGGTGAAGTTCTCGCTTTCCGGGTCTCCTCCAGTTGTGCCAGATGTGAGGATGAACGTCGCTCCTGTTAAATCAGGGACCCTGAACCTGTCACATTAACAGTTCGGAGGTTGACACTGTTCCCTTCACCGACTGAGCTGCGGAGTTAAACATTTGGGTGTTTTTTTTTTGCCTGGGTGCTCAAAGGTGCAGTGTGCCTCAGTGCAGCGAGATACAGGCGAACACAGCTTTTCCGCTCACTGTGTAAATGCCAGTGAGGCCAAAACAGGGAGAACGAAAAGGGTTAAAAAGCCGTCACTCACCGAAGAGCGTGCTCATCTCTCAGCTGCATTTCTGCCGGAAAAATGCATATCTCAGCTTTTTAGTTAAAAACATGCAGCCACCGATGCCATTATACCTGTACAGTTCTGGTATTAAAAAAAAATAAATCTTAAAGCAATCTAATCAAAATGTTAAAATGTTAATTATGAAATGCTCTTGCTTTCATCGGAATGAATTGGAATTACGTTTTTTTTGTATGAAATGCCTAAAATGTGTATTGTTAATGCCTGATTATATAACTGTGTCTTAATACCCTTCAGGTGTCTCACATTATTATGGTTAAATGTATGTATGCATATGTTATGCCTATATTTGTTAAATAATACATTTTAATGTGGTATACGAATAGCGATGGAAATGCAGCGGAAAAGTGAAAATAATGAGACCGCAAAAGGTAAGAAGAAACGTTCAGTCAAATGAAAAATTAAACTGCGGGCCGATTCATAAATAAACATGAGCAGCGAAACCGGCGCCTTCAACAGAGTTTCACGAAAAATTAAAAATAGACGCCGTGAGATATGCAGGGGAGGTTGGGGCTTTGCACCTTAGCCACACGGCAGCCGAGTGCGATGTGGCACAAAGGGCCTGTCTCTTACCCGATCAGGCTCCCCTTCCGGCACAACGGTGAGTGTCACAGGGAAAAATAAAAAAAAACGCAGCAGCTCTGGGTTTACGCTAATCCCTCAACAAGTGCAGGAAAGATGCGGTGGCAGCAACGGAGATGCGGACGAAATGTGTTGCTGAATTAGTCCCGAAATCTCTTACCGTGAAAAATGCGGTCAGATAAGGAAGTCGCATCAAATCCTGCGAAATGCATCCAGAATCAGATGAGGAACTAATGCAGTGAAAAATGGAGTGAAGAGAGGTTGGAGTGTACAAGTTTAACCTGAGGAGACAAACCTATGCTTATTTAACAGATGCTTACACCCAAAGCCAGGCACAATCGCACAAGCAGGATCAGACGGTCTTTAGACACATTGGGGGTTAATAGCCTTGATGTGTCATCAGTGAAATCATTCTTCCAAGTCTAGGATTTGAACTAGCAACCTTCTGATCATAGGAGTTTTAACCAAATCAGCTACACAAAGCTTTGTTGGAGATTTATAAAAAGGGGGGTAAACCATTGCTGGGGGGGAGGTCTGATTTCAATGGAAATGAACGGGAACACACTTTGAATACTGATTAGTGTATGTTTATTTGGTGGGGGGGGTGGGCGCTACAGCCCCCCTAAAACAGCCCTCGCAATACCCCTGCATGAGAAAACTTATAGGATAAACCATTTAACAGCCAACTTTTGCTCTTATTTAGATCTTGCGTGTTTTATCGGTCACACACTTGGGTTTGAAGTGTAACTCGCCGGACGTCCTCCCGCTCTCCACTCCGACATGTCCTGTCGCGCATTCTCCTGTTCTTTGTCTTCCTCTCCTCTCTCTTTCAGTTCACTATCGGACTTCTGTGTGACTCTCCGACGTTTGTTTTCACAGTTCTTTCTTTCTTTCTTTTTTCTTTTTTGTTGTTCTCTCTCACTTCCACATGTCATTTGTTCCCGGTGCGGCCGTAAGCTTCTCCGGCTGTTTTCTTCAAAGGTACACCTTCCCCCCCGTCTGTGTGGACAGAACCACAGCTGCATGCGTGCCCCACGCTTTGCCTCCCCAGTGACGCACGCCTGCCATGGCTCCAGTGCCATTCCCCCCACCTCCGCCCCATGCACACACACCAAGGACCCTCTGCCCAGATTC